TCCCCCGCCCCCCCCCCACCCGCCCCTAGTCCTTACCAGCTCCTAGTCCGGCTGCAGCTCCCTGCTGCAGCCACCAGGGACTGTCCAAATCAAAGCTCTCCGAATCTTTTCTGAAGATTCGGAGAGGTTTGAATGATTTGGACATTTAAATTGGTCCCCTGATTTGATTTGGATTCAGAGATTTTGGCCACCGAATCGGGCTGAATCTCCTCCAAATCGAATTACCACCTGAATCTTCGCACAGCCCTAATGGTTACAGTTTGATAATTTCCAATCCAACTATATAAAACAAGCCTTTCTTCAAGTAGGACTCTTATCACTGGAGAAAATAACCCCTGGCCATCTCTATATATAATCTGAGCATGAATTTGTTTTCTTGCAATCATAAACCTGTAAGTTTTTCCCATAACCTTTAAAATAAAAAATAATGTTTTTGTTTTGTTAAGTATTTGCAATACTTGGAGTAATCATTCCACATGCTCAAGCAATATGCACTGTCATCCTGCCCATGTACTTAGAAATACTATGGTAATGAAAAGAAAAGTTCTCAATGAAAATTCATTTGGGAATTCCAACAAAAAATGTAACAGGAAAGCAAACAGTATCTGCACCTTATGCCACAGGTTTAATTTAAAAAACAAAAACAAAACCCTCTCTTTGAACATTAACTGCTTGTTACCTCTCTCTGTTTATAAGGTCAGCACCTACAACATCCAGACTCCCAAGGGGCTGGAATGCCCAAATTCTGTTTCTGAAGAAAAGTAGGAGATATTTGTGGAGCTTTATGAATGCCTCCACAAAGCACCAAGAGCTTCTTAGGAATTTGGGCGTTCCTGAGGCACAAAAAGGAGAAGGACAGAGAAGCCAAGAAAACATGTTGAGGACATGATAAGGAGCTGGCAGAAGGGGTTTAATCTGCCCCATGAGCTGGCAGAAAAGAGAATCCCAATGAACAAGCAGAGCCTGGCTGTTACAGAAAGGACCACACAAACTGACACTGAGAAGCAGCAGCAGGAGCTCAGGGACATGATGAACAGATGTTCCTCTTGAAGACCAAGTTTCAGAGCTACTATTTGTCTTCCAACTGCTTTACTCTTGGCACTCTCCATCATACCCAGCAGCCACATGGTCCTGGTGCTACAGCAATGAAAAAAGGCAAGCGCACTTGCAAGTGTTTGCCAGCACGACTCTCAGGCACAGCTACTTTCTCTGTCTGACAGCAAAAACAACTTCCTATGAGAACCCAGATCCTTTGATCCCTTGAAGCCTCACATTTTGGTTATGCTACATTTCAGCCTCCAAAGCTCCTGAGCATACACAAAGAAAAAAGTGTTTAAGAGTCTTTCCGTCTGAACTCTTAAATTAGACTTGAATTTTCTCTCTCAACCCCACCACTTCTGCTTATACAACTGAACATGTTTTTAGTCTGGATTTTTTTATCCATGAAGAAAGATTTACCTTTAAGGAAGTTTTACTTTCTCTTATCAGTGAAGCAACTGTTTTCTGTAGAGCACATAGTACTGCCTATATGGCATGTCTATACTATGCCTGTGATGTAGTATGGACTGGAGGTTGAATTGGAGGTACAGTAATAAAGCCATTCTGGGGGTATCTTCAGCAGTCACTTTCAAACATGCCAGAGACCAAGGTCTTGAGACTGGGTGCTGGGGGCACCCTCACTGCATCATTATCACACTTTTGACTTTCCCACATGCAAGTGAGAATGGGTGAGCACCCAGAAAGGGCTTTACCAGGACATACTGGAAATGTGGTATGGATATACCCATAGACAATGAACCCACATAGGTCTGTCAGCACAAGTGTGCACATACACCATATACCTAGAGATAAACGTGCACAATTTAATACTCATATTCATTAAATACATAGACAATGATACCCTACAAAGCAGACCCACTAATCCGTCACACAGATACCTCAACAGAGATGACTGATATGCTTTATATTTAACTCCTGAAGACATACAGGGCATGCAAAACTGACATCCCACAGCTACACACCAACAAGCAGCATATGAAATTTTTTAAGACCATTTTTCAAAATAGATACACAAGGCAACCTTGGTTACATGGCACTTGGAAGGGGGGAACTGTAGGGTGCTTAAACTGTCTGGAAAGTATCTGAACCTTCACCTTGCAGCTCTCAGCAAAGCACTCCCCTTTGTTTTTGCAGATGTGGGTAGAACAGGTATAATTCAAGCAAATACTGCTTGGCCACCTCTGGCTTTCCACTTACTTCCTACGACCTACTTTTTAGGCATCTCAAAGATCTCTCTTCACTGTAATCATGCAGCTACCCCAGTGATCATTAGGGATATGGGTCTTCCGTTTCCCATGGAAAAACGGAAAAAATGTGAACTTTCCACAAGCTGGCAGAAAAGTACTTTCTGAAGTAGCATCTCAGTCTCCTCATCCTCACCTATTTTCTCTAGTTTCCGATGCAGGGAAAAAAGGGGAAGCTGTAACTGTAACTACTACTGTTGGAGCTTCGAAAACTGCTGGCAAAATGTTCCGTAACACAGCTGGGGGCAAGGGGTGACTTCTCTGCTGCAGGCAAGCAGGATCCTTAAGCTTCTGCAGACAGGCTCAACTCCCCTCTCCCTTTGACCCAACAGCAAACATCTGTTGGGTGGGGGTGGGGGCGGGGGGGTGGAATGCTCTAACTCATGGTGCTTATGAGTTAGAGCAGGGGCCACACATCTATCAGTGCCCTCTGGGTGTTTAAAATAGTGCCAGCTACCCAAAAGAAATGCATCAAGGGATAATGAAAAAGGAAGCACAGGATTTTAGAATCTGATCCTGGGAAGTTGAGCACAGAGATTTCAGCCACTCTGGTACAGGTCCCACCATGCAGAATACTCTAATGCATGGGTGTCAAACTCACCCCAAGCCTGGGGACAGATCCGGACTGTTAGGCTCTGCCTGGGCCACATCTACAGGATTAGTGGCAGCAGTGTGGGTGGCAAGTAGTGGCAGCAGAGGTCGGGGGTAGCAGCAGGTATCCACCAGCCACGGGCTGAGCGAGGCTCTATATCATACCAGCCTTAGGGGTGGATGACATGGGTGACTGCTTAGGACATCATGGTTGGGGGCACCACACACACACACACACACACACACACACACACACACGAGAAGCTGCTCAGGAGGAGCCATACCAGGCACATGTGGGGGTATGGTACCTGTTCTAATCTGGCCCCTTGCTCCCACACAGTAGCAGCACTGCCTGCCCACCTGCCTGATTGGTACACCATGCCACTATGCCTCCCCTCTGGACTACACCCTGTGCCCCTGCCTTTGCCTGCAGCAGGGCCGCTGACTTGGATGGTGGTGGGGATGCCAAAATATACATTCGCCCAGGGTGCCATTTTTCCTGAGGCCGGCTCTAGCTCAATCTGCACAGCCTTTGCTCATCCCCTACCACCAAAGGCCATGTTCATGACCCACCAATTCTACGACAAACCACACTTTCTAACCGCATCTCCAACTACTGGTAGCCCAGTGGGCCAGACAGAATGGCCTGTGGGCTATATGTTTAACACCCCTGCTGTAATACATGGGACACAAGAGCAACAGAAAGGACCATAATGTGGAAACTCAACCTCACTGCCAAGATGGAAAAACTGACTCATAGTGAAATAAAAGTCAGGTGTTCATTTGGACCCATTTTCACTGTAACACTTAGACGGAAACTTTTACAGTGATGTGTCTTACTTTAATGTAAATTCCTTTGTACAGATAAGCTCTGCTTCCTTTTTAGAATCGAAATACAGTATTGAGAAAAAAGAGATGAAGAAATTTTTTTTCAACCTAACATCCAACTCTTCTCATTTCTTCTCCCATATTTTGTTCTTTTTTCTTACGGCTCTCTAGATTTGTAGTACAGAATAAAGAAATAGAAAATCACTATTGAAACCTTACTAAACAGTCATAATTCATTCATATATGCTTTCTACTGACATCCTTGAATGCAAACTGCATTAAATACAATGCTAATTGTTCCTGTGTGAGCTTAAAAATCTCCCTGTTGTCCTTTTTGTAAAAGTTTTCCTTCATTAAACATTTCCATTTCTTCATATATCTTTATTAAAATTTTTGCAAGTGCAGTCATTACTATCTTCCTACATCTAATTACATACATTTCTAAATGTTAATTCTCTTGCCAATACCAAGACTCTTGATTTTGAACTTAAGTTTTGTCAGTCTCAAAATTTTATGACAACTGTGACCCAAACTGTGGGTCTTGAATATAAAAGGACCCACTCTGCTTCCATAAATGGGGGAAACTTCACTGAATGCATACTGGTGTTCTCACTTATGTCAGCAACAAATTCAACTCAAGATTGGTAAATACAATAATCATCTAATGATAAATTAGTCATTCCATACTAAAACAAAATCACATAAAATTAATATATTCTGGGTTCAAAAATGATATTTTATACTTGATGGACTGCAGCATCAGCCAGAAAATATCTGATCTTGGGCCACTCTTTTGAAAACCCAATTAAAATAAATGAAGGAAATGTAAACCATGACTTTATTGTTTAACAAGCCAAACAAGCTACAGAATGATGTTTCTACTGTGAGAGTTAATACCCTTAAAGGGCTACTACAGAGTGTCCTACTGAGAAAATATCTTTAAGTGTTTTAGCATCAAGCCAGTTCAAGACAGCTGTTGGAAATTGGAATCTTCCTGCAAATTGGACTATATTGATTCTCCCCTTGTGATTCAGAGTTAAACCACTGTTTCAGTGCGGTTTGAGGTTACACTAGTAGATGTACCATCTTTTAATTGAGACATAAATCAAAGACCCAGCACATTTATGGATATGACACTTTTGGCAAGAGCCAAGCTGTTAACTCATGCAGCCCTGACTAAATTGCAACTCAGGTAATTAGGAAATAAAATTTTGCTCATTTATTCTCCTTTTCTGCCCTAACTTCCCTCCTCTGCTCCCCCTCCCCCCCTCATTCAACAGGGAACAGCATTCTCCTTCATTTCCTGTTCTGACCTGTTGTTGTTTAGGGTGCTTGCACTCAGTTACACATGTAAATGCATTCTTGAAGGGGATAAGCTGATCCCAAGATGTTCCTTTCCTATTGCTAGTACTTTATGGCACTGATCAAAAATATCAATGCAGAGAACATTGGTTTCATAATGCGTGAGACATCTTTTAAGGTAGGGGGTCAAACACACCCAGGTGGGTCATCTAGCCTGCTGTCTTCTCCTGAAGCCAGAATGGTGGAGTCGGGTCAGGAATCACTCCCGTGAGGTTTGCAACCCCCTCTCAGTCTCAGGCCGCTGTGGTAGGAGGTTTTGAAACAGCACCAAGTGCAGCTGCCATTGAATTAACTATTTCCCATTGCTGGTGGCCACAGGAATCGGCAGCATTAGTAACAGGAGTTAGCAGCAGCAGTTACATTAGGGGCTGCACCAACACACATCCATGTTAAGCCCCTCGCTGCCACAAGCATCATCTCCCACCACATAAGTGCCTCTGGTGGCACTGGTGGGACTTGTGATTGTTTAACTATTAACAAGGAGGAGACCCATTGAACCAGACAGTAATTGTGCAAGCCCACTGAAGAAGCACTCTCTCTTTTGAGGCATGTATAGGCTAGTCAAATTTAAATATCTGCTAATCCTGGTGTCACGGGATGGGGTCCCCAGGGATAGCCATGATACCCCTTGGGCTCCTTGACCGTGCCAATCTTGCCCAACAGGCACCCTCTTTCTCGCCTGCCACGTTTTACTGGTACTTTTAGTATAGGGAGGCTGCCCTTGATCTTATTGGACACGGTCTTGCTGGACCCCTCTGAACCCTGTGGGTTTAGAGGCCCCTTGATGTCCCGCTTCAAAATGGAAGATTCACGGGACACCCTCAATCTTATGGGCTAGATGCATGGCTCCAAACTGTCCCTTTACCACACCCCAAGCCTCGCAGATGGTACTGACATTGTCTCTCCTGAGCCTTGCTATAACTCAGCCCTTTGTCCTCAGTGGGCTCTCCACAGCCCTGTCTCTGCACCCACACTGACCTGTCTCCGCACCCTTCTCTGGCGCCGGGCTCTCCACAGCCCTGTCTCTGTGCCCACACTGACCTGTCTCCACGCCCTTCTCTGGCACCGGGCTCTGCACAGCCCTGTCTCCGCACCCTTCTCTGGCGCTGGGGTCCCTACACTGTCATGGGCCCCCCAATGAGGCCTCCTCCTTCC